CTGCGGGAGGAGGAGGGAGGGTGTGAGAATGAGGAGAGGAAGGAAGAGGAGAGAAGCGTAATAAAAAACGGAGAAGTGATAATAAGATAGACAAACATTGGGACAGACGTTGCTCTGGGTCATTATTTGTAGCTGCAATTTAATCAAACGAAGAGAGAGAAAGAGAAAGAAAGAGAGAGAGAGAGAAAGAGAGAGAGAGAGAGAGAGACGGAGACGAAGAGCGAGGGAGAGGGAGTGACAAATATTTAGAGAAAGAAGCAAAAGAGAGAAAAAAAGATAGACATCCTAAAAAAAAGAGAAGCAGGAAAGAGAAAAATAGAATGAAAAAACACAGTCAACGTATACCTAGAAAATAAGCGAGAGTACGAAAAATGGACAACTGTAGTACATAAGATCATTTGCATAAGTGGTCGACAGGTAAATGCAGGTAAATGCAGGTAAAGGCAGGGATGGCCGAGTGCTATGGTAAATAAACTAGCACTCGGGGAGGGGAGAGAGGGGGTGTGAGGGAGAGGGAGGGAGGGGAGGGGTGTAAAGGAGAGGGGAGAGAGGACGACGCAAAAGGGAGGGAGGAGGGAGATGGGGGGGGGAGGGAAAGGGGGTAGGGGGAGTAAGGTAGGGTGGGGTGGGCATAGGGGGAGGGAAATCAGTACGAAAGGAAGGGGGAAGGGAGAGGATAAAAGGGGGAGAGGGGGGGAAGGGAGAGGGTAAAAGGAGGGGGAGGGGGAGAGGGAAGGGAGATAGGAAGGGATAGGGTAAAAGGGTGGGGGGAGGGGGAGGGGAGAGAGAGTAGATTCCACTAGACTAACACTCTTGCATGTTAAAAGTTGATTAGCCTAATTTAGAATGTAATACTGCAGCTACAATGGCAATAAAAGTAAGTTAGACCTACATTCGCGTATTTGCTCGGGATTTTGCTTGCATAAGTTTTTTTTATTTTATTTATCATTTATTCCTATTCTAAAGTAATTGTCTGTTTTAGTGATTTTCATTGCTTTTAATTGAGAAAAGGCGTCGTTTCATAATCTGATTTAATCGAATTTCGCTTCATATATTAAGCACCTAAACGAAAGCTTTGACTCCTTAGAACAAACATATGGCTCAATATATCCCATGTTGCTCCCTGTATTGCAGAGCCAACTATATCCATTCTTGAATAGCTTTTGCAACAAGAACTGCACGCCGTTTGCAAAGCTTTACCCAATATTCACTTAGCGTAAAGATATCCTTCGCTTTAAAGGAACATTCAGTCGTGAGTTAAAAAGCACGGTGTTATGTATTTATAAGCTTAAAAATAGAATCAAGAAGAAAATTGAATGGCTTTGTATACACAAATTATTCACATTACAATCGTTCAAAGAAAAAAAAAAAAAAAAAAAAAACACAATTTCTACTTATAGAAATGTATTAGGAGAAAAAGGAAGGGAAAAAAAAACTATATTGCATGATAACGTGTTGAGAAATAGCTCATAAAAATCTCCGTTATTGCCGAATGAGGTAAGGGAGAGAGAGAGAAAAGCAATCCACAGAAATGGAAAAAAAAGTATTAAAAAGAAGAGAGAGAGAGAGAGAGGTGGGGGCGAGCAATTGCATAAGCGAGTTAATTTTGGTTTTCCTTTCAACTAATTTTGTCGAGATCCAGCTTGTTTCCGCGTGATGTGCGATGAAACAAATGAAGGGCGCTTTGCGGACGCAGCGGGAAAATGGGACTTTGGACTGTCTAGTTATTCTTTCCTCTTTTAATCTGGCTTTCAGTTTGTCTTTCTCTGTTTTAAATTCATATGTATATGTATATGTGTATATATATATATATATATATATATATATATATATATATATATATAGAGAGAGAGAGAGAGAGAGAGAGAGAGAGAGAGAGAGAGAGAGAGAGTGAGAGAGAGAGGGAGAGAGGGAGATAGATATAGATATACATATATATTGCATATTTGTGTATGGGCGTGTGTATATATATATATATATATATATATATATATATATATATATATATATATATATATATATATATATATATATATATGTTTATATATATTTATATGTATAAATATATATATATATATATATATATATATATATATATATATATATATATATATATATATATATTTATATATATATATATGCATTTTTTTCTACTTTCTTTTTTTCTTTTTCCTTTCTTTTGATCCGCTCCTCTTCCTTATTTTTCTTTTCTCCCCATCTTTCTGCCTCCCCCCTCTCTCTCTCTCTCTCTCTCTCTCTCTCTCTCTCTCTCTCTCTCTCTCTCTCTCTCTCTCTCTCTCTCTCTCTCTCTCCCACTCTCTCTCTCTCTCTCTCTCTCTCTCTCTCTCTCTCTCTCTCTCTCTCTCTCTCTCTCTCTCTCACACACACACTACAACACACACACACACACACACACACACACACACACACACACACACACAATACCAGCTACACGAAAAAAAATCCAAACTTTTTCTTAGCAACAATCCATTAACTCTGCATGACGCACAGCGCTTAATTCCGGACCCTGCTTTCAGTCTGGCATATTTATAAATACTTCAAAAAATACACTAACCTTTTATACATTTTCACAAACAACTTTTCATAAAAAAGGCAAACATCTGTAAATCAATAATGTTTGTCGTATATATATTTCCTTTATTTATATTCAACATTTTGAAACGTTATAACTGTCACTTATAGCTATATTATAGCACCGTCTATTGTAGAAGGATCCGTTTTAGATCCAACACAATAACTATAACAAGATCCAGTTCCTTAAAATGGACCAGCACAAACAACATCCGGCTCTGTAACAAGATCCAACACTATATCAAGTGTGTGTGTGTGTGTGTGTGTGTGTGTGTGTGTGTGTGTGTGTGTGTGTGAGTGTGTGTGTGTGTGTGTGTGTGTGTGTGTTATTGGGAGTGTGTGGGAAGTAGAGTGTAAGGTGGGATCGTTTAGTATGACATGTATGTGTGCACGTCATGACAGGTGCGTCTCTCGAAATGCAATAAACTCGATTTTTTTACTTTTAATAGGGATCAGTCAACCGCATGTTAATTTAAAAGCCATTATGGATTAAAGAAAATGAAAAGGAAATGGGTACACCAAATGATGCAATCATGTTACACATTGTTCATTAATGCGTACTTAATATCTTCATTTACAAGATTTTCGTTCACTCATAAAAACGATTTTTTTTAGACCGGCGCCCATCTCCTCCGGCATCATAAGGCATCCGCGAGCCCCAGTATTTTACGTACTGCCTAAGTGGCGGTCTTTGTACTAGCTCGTTATCCGCTCGTGCGAGAAATTATGCCAAAGTGCCTTTCCTTCTTATGGAGATGAGAGCGTTGTATTATCTTAGATATTAACATTATTATTATTATTTTAAAGAATCCAAGACTATAGTACGATCAAACATTATGGCATGATCCAAGAAGATAAGAAGATATAAGAAGATTCAACTCTATAAGAGAATCGAAAACTATAAATATGCCAAAAGGTCTTTCTTTCTTACGGAGATGAAAGCGGTTGTATCATCTTAGAGGTTGACAAATTAAAATCGTTTTAAAGAAACCAAGCTAAGATACGATACGATCAAACATTATGAAAAGATACATAAGAAGATTCAACCCTATATGAGAATCGAAAACTATAAAATCCAACACTATAACAAAACCATAAGATCCGAACCCATAACAGATCTACCATTACCAAAATAAAAGACATACAAGTTACTGTTCCTACGCGAGAGTCCATAACCATAAGGAATCCAGCATATGGGTCTATAACACAGAGGTCTCCTGTTACTCGTACATGGCTCATTAGCAGAAGACAGCGCTACAAAAGAGCACAAAAGAGCTCCTCCACCTGGCTTGATTGCTCGGAGCTCTGTCCATTCTTGATTCATTAGCAGGCCGGCATGCTATACACAGCACAAAAAGACAGGGGATTATTATACGTGGGTTGTTAAGGAAGTGGAAAAGTTTATAGTTATATGTACAGCACAAAGGAAATGGCTGTTTTATGCAAGTGACTGTTTGACATATAAATCTACCACAATTTCTGTGTCTTTTCTCTCTCTCTCTCTCTCTCTCTCTCTCTCTCTCTCTCTCTCTCTCTCTCTCTCTCTCTCTCTCTCTCTCTCTCTCTCTCTCTCTCTCTTTCTTTCTCTCTATATCTCTCTCTCCCTTCCTCCCTCCCTCCCTCTCCCATTCCCTCTCTCTCTTTCTTTCTCCTTCTCTCTGTCTGTCTCTCTGTCTGTCTGTCTGTCTGTCTCTCTCTCTCTCTCTCTCTCTCTCTCTCTCTCTCTCTCTCTCTCTCTCTCTCTCTCTCTCTCTCTCTCTCTCTCTCTCTCTCTCTCTCTCTCTTCTCTCTCTCTCCCTCTCTCTCCCCCTCTCTCTCTCTCTCTCTCTCTCTCTCTCTCTCTCTCTCTCTCTCTCTCTCTCTCTCTCTCTCTCTCTCTCTCTCTCCCTCTCTCTCTCTCTGCATTCTGCCCACCATGTCCTCGGAGGAACATTCCCCGCGTGCTATTAAAACCGCTTCCCACAAATCTTAGAACCCCTTTTCCCATTCTGAGGATGATAGTTCCAGTCCCTTTAGGTTCACGTATTAGGTTCTGTTCTTGTTTGGTTCTATAACTTGGGTTCCTTATAGTAGGCAACCCCCTCCCCTCCCCCCCTTAGATTCTTTCCTGGTCGGTTCATTATTTTATGATTTTCTCTATTTTTATCCTCTTCTGAACCCCTTTTGATTCTCCTCACCTTAGGTTCTTCACCCCCCCCCCGCCCCTTAGGTTATTCCCCCTCAGGTTCCAGCTAAAGTTTTCATTTAGGTCTGCCCCTAGAATTTTTAAATACTTTTTCCCCTTTAGGATTTTGTCTCTTAAGCTCTTTCCCCTTAGGTTCTGTCCCTCGGGTTCCCTCCCCTTAGGTTCTGTCCCTCGGGTTCCCTCCTCTTAGCTTCTGTCCCTCGGGTTCCCTCCCCTTAGCTTC